TCCCGTCTCTCTACCCGCAGCACCGTGCTTGGCCGCAGCGAGTGGGTGTCCTCCGTTGTCCATTTGCCCCCTCGGCCCCAAGCTTAGCAGGCCACTGGGCTGTGAGCCTTTGTTTCCCTGTTGGAGAAAGTTTATCATCTTTAAACGTGCGTTTCGGTTACGGGCACCTGGACAGCCTCTCCCGCTCAGCCTCATCACCGGTCACGGTGGCTGTGGGGCCCCGGGCCTCTGCCGTCGCGATTCTGTATTTTCATAACCGCAGTGAGGCCACATCCAAAGCCCCTGCCTCCGGAGCTCCCTGGCGCGTGTGCTGCTGACCTGCGTGGAAATCTCTCTGATTCGACGCCTTCACCTCCCGCCGCCCAGACCGGCCCTGGAAAGGTTTGGTTGGAAAGCTTCAGTTACGTCTCAGCGAAGGACACGCTAGGGGAAGGAGTGTTCCTGTTCACTTAATTTCTGGTTAACGGATCCCAAGGAGAGTTTTCATGAGGAGGAAACAGCGTCGTGGGAAAGAAAGATCGTGAACCTCCGACACAGACATCCCTCTGCCTGAACCCTTTCTGGCCATTTGAAGTCCCGTGACCTTGCACCTCGGTTTTCTTAGATAGTAACAGACACCGTGTTTGCTCCTGTTTCGATGCGACGGGGCGACGTCTGTCAGTGTAAACATTCAGTGGCAGGTCCAGTGCCCTGCGGCGCTCGGTAAACACAGATCCCACCCTCTTCCCACTTCACTTTCCTTCTTGGAAATAATTCTCAACACGTGGACATTTGGAATTTAAATCTGTTTTAATGTGGAACATGGAGGGAGGGGGTGTTTCTGGAGGAGGCAGTGTCAGCGGCTCATTGGTGCAGGATGCTTAGGAAGAGTCAGGCCAGCGGTGAGATTCGATGGACGCTCACCAGGTCTAAATTCTGTGGGAATGGCAGAAGTAAAGAGCTGGTTTTACCCTTTTAAGACTGCCTGCTATTCTTCCACGCATCTCTCGTCCAAAAATTGAGCGTGGGAACAGAACGTGGTAGGAAAGTCCGCGTGGCAGGTTGAGATGCACGTCCATTATCTCGTCCCACTTAGGAGAGAAGTAGACCCACTGAGGAGCGGTGCAGGAGGCGGAGCCCCGGCCCACGCGACCACGGGAGGGCGGGAGACGGCCGTCAGCCAGCCAGAGGGGACGCCGGGGCCTGCAGAGCAGCTCTGGGGTGGAGGGACGACCGTGGGGACACCTGGAACCCTGGGATGGAGGGACGACCGTGGGGACACCTGGAACCCTGGGATGGAGGGATGACCATGGGGGAGAGGTCTCAGCGTGGGGACACCTGGCGTGGACTTGGTCATGGACGGGCTAGAGCTAAAAGCAGGGTAGTTAACAGTGTGGACTGGAACTGCCTGCTCCCTGCCCCTCTGCTGGGTACAGAGTACTCGGCATCTGCAGTGGACAGACAGACAGACAGACAGGGACGCCCCTCCACGGAGCATGAGTGGCCCGAGGACAGGGCTCTGCCCCCTGGAACTCAGATCCCTCCAGAACACAAGTGAGCCCCCCACCTGACTGAGGGGAAGCTGCCAGGTGACGAACCAGGCGTTCACATGGGGGGTACGTTTCACTTCAGGCCTCGCTGCACTGTTGTTTGCAGTCCACGTGCACACACGAGGTTGATTGTATTTGGAAACCATTGTTTGCGAGGAAGGACACCCACACTCGCCAGCAGCGTGTTCCCCGGGGAGCACTGTCCACGCTGTCCCGAGGTCTGGGTGTCGGGCTCCAGTCCCACAGACAACACCGGGCTCTGCGCCAGGAGACCTGCTCCGCTCGTGCCAGGCTGGTTCCCCTGAGTCAAGGTCACCTTCCCAGCGGCCCCATGTGTATGTCGCAAACGCCCTTTCTGGGAACTGCGACGTGTCTGCCGGCACCTCTTCACCTGCTCCGACGCGTGTCACGTGCGGGTCACACATCACTCGGAGGAGCACAGGCATCGGGTCCGAGGCCCGGGTGTGAGACAGACAGACATTTACCACTGAGTCAGGCTGTTGCTCGCCTTGCCCCGTGGACCCCATGAGGCGAGGGTGCATTGAAATGGGCACTCGTGTGGCTAGAGTGGGATGTAAGGCAGGTTACCGTGCTGTGGGGTCACCGTGGAGGACCTCATCTTTCCGTCCTGTGGCTGGATCTGCGATGGACCCGGTGCCGCGTTCGTCCCGTGTGCCCCTGAGAGGCCGTCACTCGGCCTTGGCATGTGTTGGTCCTGTGCCCAGTTCCTCGGGGTCAGCGTGCAGCTGAGGCTGGCCGGCCGGGGACCATCTCCCCGGGGCAGCGACAGGTGCTGAGCGCGGGCTCCTGTCCCCGCCGCGGCTGAGGGTGATTAATGCCCGATTAGCACCTGACCGGCGACCTCTGCGCACTCGAGACTGCCCTCCTGCTTGTCACAGGGCTGTTTGCAAATATTAGCCTCTTGGGTCATTTCTCCTCATCAGCGACTTTCACAGGTGACAGGCGGGTGGTTAACCTGCGTGGCATTCAGCTCTCGTCCTTTGTCCCGCATGTGGCATCTCCTCCGAAACCTGACAGCGGCCCACAGTCCCTACCGGGCTCTCCATGGCGACTGTCCCAGGCAGCCCTCCAGAGAGCCCCGCAGGGTGGGGAGCCAGGCAGCCGCGGGGGCCCTGCAGTCAGTGCAGCCCGGCGTCACGTCAGTGTGACCGGTGTGTAGGTTTAAAGATTCACGTGCCGGCCCTGCCAGGTCCGCGCCCTGAGCCTCGCCTGTGCCGCGTCCTCGCAGCTGCTCGGCAGGCCCAGTCTCTTCGGCGTGAAGTCCGAGATGAAGCGTTTCCTCTGCAGCGATTTAAGTTTATTTTTATTTCCAGACTCCCCCTTCTCCACCCTTAAAGGAAATCCCTGTCCTAGAAATGTTCGATCTGGCCTCGCCCTCGCTGGACAAACTGTAGTAACGTGTCCTGCGGTAGTTTAATGTCGATATTACACGTATTTTAGAGAAAAGTGGATAAAACATGTCACTTTCCTCCCTTGTCACCGGAAGTGTGAGCTGAATTGCTCACCGTGTGATGCTCGTGGGACAGGGACGACCCGGGGCGCTGACTTTCAGGAAGGCAGGGCTCAGACGCGCACTGACGGGCTCACGCTTCGTCCACTGAGCGTGTTGGCATCTGGGCCGAATCGGAAAGCCACCCCCGTGCCTAGCAGGGTGCCCGGCACCAGATGTACTTGTGGAATTGAACAGGTTTTAAACTGTGGGTGGACTGAGTAACTCCATAAGCAACGTCTTAAATCAATTCAAAGAGGACAGAGTCAGCAGGCATTCTGAGGATGTCCAGCAGCCCAAAGCCCCCGCCCCGCAGGGCACACGAGCAACAGCCCAGGGCTCTCAGCCCCCGGCTCCTAATCGGGACAGACGTGTAAGGTTACGGGCTGGGGATCCCCCCAGGGTCCGAGTACCTGATAACGGCCAGGGATGGGCCCCCCGAGGCCTCCTCATAGGGGGTGGGTGGCGGTGGGTCATGGGATTCCGGGTGTCCCATCAGAGAGGCCCCGACGGGTTCTCTTGTTTGTCACTTCCAGTCCCCACACCTTCTGTACGTAATTCCACAGACTTGTGCTTTTTCTGCCACAGGGGACGACGTTGGTGCTTCTGAAACCATGGCCCCCGTCATCGTGATCCCCCCGNTCCCATCAGAGGGGCCCCGACGGGTTCTCTTGTTTGTCACTTCCAGTCCCCACACCTTCTGTACGTAATTCCACAGACTTGTGCTTTTTCTGCCACAGGGGACGACGTTGGTGCTTCTGAAACCATGGCCCCCGTCATCGTGATCCCCCCGGGCAACAGGAGCGTGGTGGCTGGGTCCAGCGAGGTCACCTTGGAGTGCATCGCGAATGCCAGGTATGTGCTGGTCCCTACACGGGACACTAGTCCCTAATGCCAGTGACAAGACTCCTCGCCAGTGGTGTGAGCCCCTGGCCACGGTGCCTTGTTGGCCCAGCTGGGCTGTGAGCACAGGGGTGTGGGAGCGGGGGCCCTGGCCCCCGGCCTCCGTGGCCGTATTTATAGTCACAGAGAACTCATTTCACTGTAGCCGGGGCCATGGCGGGGCCTCCTCGGAGAGGCTGGCTGAGGAGGGGAGGCCGCCCCCTCTCTAGTCCCAGGGGTTCTCTCCAGACTGAGCTCCGTGACCACAGCTCCCCTGTGGCCAAGCCCCCAGCAGCATTTATCTTAGGCCTTCTTTTCCTGAGCAAATGGAGCCATTAGCGCGCGCGGGCCATTACAGCTGCAATTAGCTGTCCTTGCTCGACAGCCCGGAGCAGCTGCGTGGCTGATGGAAGCGTGGGGGGCAGAGGGGTGGGGATTGCTCTCAGGTGTCCACTGTTCACCCAGCACGGCCCCAGCAGCACTGGCTTTGCCCCCACCCTCCACGCGACTCACAGCCCTGTCCCCGGTGCCCTCACTGTCCTAGGCCCCTGGAGGAGCTGCGTGTGAGCTGGAAGAGGAACCAGGGGACGGTCACCAGCGGGCTCCACAGCTCTGGGAGGCGCCTCACCATCAGCAGCCCCACGGCCGCGGACACCGGGGAGTACGTCTGCGAGGCAGCGCTGGCCGGGGGCGCGTCCGAGCCGGCCAGAGCCAAGGCCTTTCTCTCCATCACAGGTAAGGCTCAACCCGGGGACGGGGCCGTCATCCTCGGGTGGTGGCCCCACGGCACTTCCCGGGGAAAGCAGAGCCGCACCTGCACTTCACCAGCTCCTTGTTTTAATCTTCACCAGAGGATATTCTTTCCATTGCTTTTCAAAGAGAGAGTGGAAGGGGCCGCTGTGGACAAAGCGTGCCTCAGGGTCTGCTCCAGGGAGGGGCCCCGAGAGAGCGCACAAGCCGGAGGAGGCCCTCCAGAGAGCAGCAGCTCCCCACGTAACGTAACGTGTGGTTTGTCACTTGGCAAACTAAGACAAATAAAAGCTAATTTCAAACAAAATTAGCAACAGCATCAAACGCTGCGTAAAAGGAAGTTTGCCTGGAGTGTGTCACCCTCCTTCCATCATTAGGAAACAGCTCTGTGGCCCGAAGGTCACACCACACCTCAGTGATGAGAGTCATTGATGAGATGCCACACGTCAATGATGAGTCATTGATCGGCTGCCACGCAAAACCGTCGGCCCCCCTGAGAGAAGTCTGGGGATTTGACAGGACCCAGGAAGGCGGGCTTGGAGAGGCAAGTCCTGTGGATTCCACACGGGGTCCGGGTCGGGCCTCCTGCCACCCTTCTCCCTGGTTACCTGCCGGGGCGAATGCCACCCCCACCCCCAGGAGGACTTTCTCACCAGGCTGGCTGTAGCTGAGTGACGCACGTTATAGACAGAGCCCAAGTCAAAATCTGTGAGTGTGTATCTCCAGTAGACAGGGCTATGTTCCATTCAAACCTTGTAAGGTTATTTGTTTATTTTTAAATTTATCTTAATTGATTTCAGAGCGAGGAAGGGAGAGGGGGAGAGATAGAAACATCAATGATGAGAGTCGTTGATCGGCTGCCCCCTGCACCCCCCGACTGGGGATCGAGCCCCAACCCGGGCATGTGCCCTGACCTGGAATCGAACTGCAATGTCCTGNCTGCCCCCTGCACGCCCCCGACTGCGGATCGCGCCCCAACCCGGGCATGTGCCCTGACCTGGAATCGAACTGCAATGTCCTGGATCCTAGATCAATGCTCAACCGCTGAGCCACACCAGCTGGGCCCTCGTAAGGTTATTTAAACAACAGAAGAGTGTATCTCCTTATAAACTAGAATGTCTGTTTCCATCATAATTCCTTGTAAAACTATTTAAACCTATGAGGTGAACCTCGGCTCTGCACCTGCATCTGATTCCGGATCAGGCTGCTCTGCTTCTCGGGAGTTCCCGGCTCTGTCTGCTTTTAAAGGGACCAGGACACACTCGGCTCCTTCTCGATGTGGACTTAAGTCCCCTTTATTCATCAGAACTTGCTGTGACAGGTGGGATCTTGTGGCCCAGTCCCCTGGAGAGGCCTGAGGAGCCCTGTCAGTTCCAAGAGGTTCGGGAGAGGACCACCCGAGGCCTGCAGCTGGGAGAGGGGTTCTGGGAGACGTCACCAGCTTCGCAGACCCGTCACCACGGAGACACGGAGAGAGCGCTCTCAGGAACATGAGGCGGAAGGCGGCAGAGACAAATTGCCTTCCAATTACTTTTATCTCACACTGATGAGAACAGACAGACGGACAAGCTGTTTACTCTCCTGTCACCTTCCCTGCCGCACGGCTTCATTCCTGCCATCCCGCCTGCTGAAGGCCGCGGCCCCGCCTCACGGGCAGCACCCGGCGAGGGCTCGGCCGTCGTGTCCCCCTCCTGACCCTGCTCTAGTCCCGACCTGCCCCTCTGCGCCCCTGTGGGGAACCCCCACGTCCCCCATACGCAGTGAGGCAGACGCCACGGTGCCCCCTCCGCCCTCTGCAGCCCCTTGTGCCGCCTGGACGCCCCCCCGGGCTCAACCCTTTAATCGGACCGTAGCTTCAGCGGTCACTGGGCAGGACCTGCACTCAGGGCCTGTGGCAGGAGCAGCCGCATAGCGTAGAGCAGAAATGCCACCGACGGAGGGGACGGGCTGAGTGCGCTGTAGGCGCGCAGCCTGAAGACAGACGCCCGGTCTTCGCGGTGTTTCTTTAGGCCTGGTCCACACACTCAGCCAGACGGGCCACCTAGGCAGGCGGATTCTGCTCGCATGACCCCGATAATTGCAAAATTGATCCCTAACTCTGCCTCCCAGGGCACCCCTCCTCTCCTTAGTCGTCTCTTTGGAATGCCGTTTCCGTTGGCCCTTTTCCTCTTGGGCCCGGCGTGATTTAAGGACACAGCCAGCAGAGGAGGCTCGCCAGGCTGCAGCGCCACGTTCAACACCCCTACGGGGAGCAGAAGCCCCCGGCAGCCGGCACCCCGAAATTAATTATCACACGGGAAGCGAGGACAACAGCCCTTCGTTGTCACGAAAATGAAATCGCTGCCGCCTTAACTCTGCGTGCACTCGGCTGGGCCACCGTCGAATTTCTGCTGAGTAAACTGAGAGAAATACTGCCGTTTACCCTCCAAGGAAATCCATTGTTTAATACAACACTATTATTTTTTGGTTGAATAGGCGAGTGGAGTACCCAGAGATGGGCGAGTGGTTAAGAGTTTGCTCCTAAAGATGGATGCGAGGCCCTTTTTCTTTGTTCTTAGCTATTATTTTGCGTCGCATTGGAGTATTAAATCTATATTTTGGATGAAAAAAAACCGCTAAGACTTTAAAAAATACGTTAATAGGCTGCCCCGTCCCCGGCTAGGCGAGAGCCTGGCTCTGACTCATCCACGTGCCTCGTGAGCTGGTGTTTCATTTAGATACTGAAGCAGACCAGCCAGTGAAATACTGTGCAGTAAATACCAGCCTTTACACCCCTCCTGGGACGGTCCTTCTAAAACCTGAATTAAGATCGTATGTGATTCAAGCCCACACACTGAAAGCAGCCGTGGCCCCGAGTGGGGATCTGCTTCCTGAGCCCCGAGAATATAAATCGCCTCCGGCCTCTGCTCGTTGGGTTCTGAGTTTGTGCACGTGTTGGTGACCGATGAAGTTTTCAAAATAGTTTTCGGAAGGAGTTCAGACTCTCTAGGCCCCGGGGACTCCTGAAATACTCCTCCCTCGCTTAGCAGCTCTTCTGTGCTTTCCCGTTTAAAGAGCCTCCGTACTTCACTGCTGAGCCCGAGGGCCGGATTGTGGCGGAGGTGGGAGAAACCGTGGACGTCCCGTGTGAAGCCATGGGTGAGTGGGGGGCTGCGACGGTGGCCGTGCGGAGGGACACGGGGCCTTCTCCGGGGTAGAATCGTCATTGTCAGGGGCGCACATCAAGTGGGACGGTCAGAAACAGGGACTGTGGGCAGGGGAGAACACAGTGACTGTACATGTGACCTTGAAAAGGTATTTGACCTTGGGAAGGTACTTGACCTTAGGGAAGGTATCTGACCTTGGGAAGGTATTTGACCTTAGGGACGTTATCTGACCTTGGGAAGGTATCTGACCTTAGGGACGGTATCTGACCTTGGGAAGGTATTTGACCTTAGGGAGGGTATCTGACCTTGGGAAGGTATTTGACCTTAGGGACGTTATCTGACCTTGGGAAGGTATTTGACCTTAGGGACGGTATCTGACCTTGGGAAGGTATTTGACCTTAGGGAGGGTATCTGACCTTGGGAAGGTATTTGACCTTAGGGACGTTATCTGACCTTGGGAAGGTATTTGACCTTAGGGACGGTATCTGACCTTGGGAAGGTATTTGACCTTAGGGAGGGTATCTGACCTTGGGAAGGTATTTGACCTTAGGGACGTTATCTGACCTTGGGAAGGTATTTGACCTTAGGGACGGTATCTGACCTTGGGAAGGTATTTGACCTTAGGGAGGGTATCTGACCTTGGGAAGGTATTTGACCTTAGGGACGTTATCTGACCTTGGGAAGGTATTTGACCTTAGGGACGGTATCTGACCTTGGCAGGGTGTCTGACCTGCTTCCTCACCTGCAGAGCGGGGGTGGTAATATTTACTCATGGGAACAGCTAGGAGGTCCCAGCGGAGGCCTGTCTTCTCACTCCCTTCAAATGCTCTGAAACACAAGAGTGTGGCCCCAGGACTCGGGGCAGGAAGTTCATTCTCACCCACGAAGTGATCGGGCCCCGGGACCACATCTGCTTTGAAGACGGAGAGGTGGCTTTAAATTCTTGGAACAGGAACTATTTCTGTTTCTCTGCCTTTTGGCATTGGGTCGACTTCACCTGTGTTGCTCAGCAGTGCCAGCCCCGCCTGCACACGGTGACTGCCCACCGGCCACTGTCACCCTTTCCCACCCAGCGGCAAGGCATCCACCAGCCCTCACACACACAGGCGTTCTCGGGCAACTCCGTTAACAGAGCCGTGAGCCTCTGGTTGCCAGCCCGGCCACTGTCGGGGGCAGGCGCACAGCCGCTCCGTTCCTGCCCCTCGGTTCCTGCCCTAGGCCGCCCAGGGCCGGGGAGAGGGTGAGGGGGCGCTGTTTTCCTTGCTGTGGTCCCACTGCTCCCTCTCTGTATAAACACCAGCTTTTTAAGGCCAACAGCTCTGAGAGGGGAACTGCACAGAGTGCTCAGGACCTGAAATTGCCCCAAAGAGAAACACTCCTTGTTCCCTCCATGCTCACAGGCCTCTCCCAACACACGCGACCGTAAGCTCTCCCCCGACACCCGCTGCTCCTGCACACGGTTTCCCACGTGGATGGGGGGTGCAAGTGAAGACGTGCAGACCTGTTCGCGCAGGGCCTGCACGTAGCGTGGCCGTCCCGTAATTTACTGCCTCTGTGTAACCCTGACAGCGAAGCCGCGGCCGGTGCGAGGCAGTGCCTCTCGATGAGGCCACATCGTGGACCTGCCGTTATGAGATTTTTACATGAATTCGTTATGCTTTTACCTCAAAATGGATTTTTTTTTAATTTCCTGATTTAATAAAAAGTGACAGGAAACATAATTAAGGCGAAGAACAGAGCCGAGAATACATTATCTTGAAGTATTCCGCGACATTAACTCTACTTATTAAAAGGAGACATCTTCTCCGCACAGCGTCTGAAATCGGGAACCTGGGTGCGCTTCCCACCACGCGTCCCGGGGGACGGTCTCCTCTCGGTTAATCTTGCCTCTGGGGAGACGGAGCTGCAGACCGTCTGGGATGCTGAAATAAGCCCGGCGACTTCTGCACCTCCCGGGCCCCACAGCAGGCACAGTGCCCCCCGGAGGTCAGGACTGTGGTCTCAGGAGCTCAGGTCTACTTCAGGCTCCCCAGTGTCCTCGGGGGCGGCTCCAGGCGGGGCCAGGGCTAAGTCCCAAGGAAGCAGCCTAGTGCTAGTCACCTGAGCCACCGGAAAAGCCACCCAGAGCAGGAGCACGGTGTTTCCCTGGTCAGCCTGGTGCAGCGAGGCCGCCAGGGGCACAGTGGGCGCCTGCGTCCTTGCTGGGTTGCAGGTGCAGGTGCCGGCCACAGCCAGAGGGGAGAGCACAGCTGCAGTGGCCCACGGGCCCTCATTCCCAGCCCAGGTTCTGCCCCTGGGAGCTTGTCCTTGGTCCCCTGCATTTACCCCTCCCTGGGAGCTTGTCCTTGGTCCCCTGCACATACCCCTCCCTCAGGGTGAGCTGGCTTCAAGTGAGTTCCTGTGTCCCTGTAGTGTCTTTAGGATGAGGGCAGGGCAGCCATGCACTTGGTCTCAATCCGTGGAGCACTTGCCGTGTGCCGGGCACTCGAGGTTTTACACAGACGAAACTCAGTTCACCTTCACAGCAGCCTCTTGGGGTTTTGACACTCGCCTCCTTTCCCAGTGCGAGGAAACAGACCCGGGGCAGGTGCATGTGTCACAGGCATGGGATCTGCTCCTCCTGCCTCCTGACCAGGTGACCGTCCGTTGGGGCTGAGCATTCCCTCCCGCCCTCCCCTGGATGCCACTCTGGGTCCGTTGCATCCTAATAGATGACAAAGGAAGGGACACCTGACATGCCTATTAAAAGACTGCTGTCCATTCCTCATGTAAGAGAATCCTAAATTTAATTCTAACACCCAGTCTTCCCGCTCCATGCAGGGGCCCCTCTGCCCACACTGCGGTGGTTCAAGGACGCCGTGCCCCTCAGCCAGCTTCGCAACCCCCGCTACAGACTGCTCCCCGCTGGCGGCCTGCACATCGAGGGGCTGCATCCCGAGGACTCCGGGATCTTCCAGTGTTTTGCCAGCAACGAAGGTGGCGAGGTCCAGACCCACACCTACCTGAATGTCACCAGTGAGTACCGACCATCAGAGCGGGCAGAGCTTTTAAGAGTGGTCACGTCTGTCCAGCCCCCTCATGTCAGTGGACAGGGAAGAGTGGCCCAAGGTGGCCACAGCACCCCTGACCCCCTAGTCACCTCTGCTGACGCCCAGAGCGTGCGTGCACAGTGGCCCCAGAAGGGACCTCCCTGTTCTGGGCAGGGGTCAGAGGTCCCAGCCCACCAGCCCCTGTCCTGAAAGGTAGGAAAACCCTGTTTTTCTGAACATCCAGCTCATTTCTAATCTTTTCCTTCTGATCTTTTCCCCATTTTTTAAGTATTCATTCTCTACTGTCGTTTTATTGAACGATTATAGTTCTTTTGTGAGTTTCTTTTATTACCCCATTAACAGAAATGCTTGGGCCCTCGGAAAAAATAAAATAACAGTAAAGGTTTTCATTTTACCTGTGGGCCGCCCTCTCCGCCTCCCGCGTTGTGTTCTTCTCAGACGAGGTAGAATTTCCCGTACTGTGGTTTCCCGTCTGGTAGTGTAGGTTTTCGCTTTTTAAAAAGAAGTAGGATCTCGCGACTGTGGAATTGTGCCGCTCATGTTTGCCTCTTTGAACGAAAAACGCTCGTCTCCTTGGGTGTGAGAGCTGGTGTGGGCTGCCCGGGGCGCCTGTCCGCAGGGCTCGCCAAGTCGGACGGACGCTGGAAGGTTCATGCTGCATTTCAGCAAACTGGGGTCACGTCCCCGAACCTCGCCAAGCGTCAGGTTTACGGTCCTGGTTGGAGCGTAGGAAACCAGCATCGCTTCAAATCGTAGAAATAATATTCGGCCCTTAGCTGGAAAGCAAGTGTGATCTGTTAGAACTATTTAAAGCGTACGTTGTTGCCAGGATGGTACAGGGCAGGATGGACTCTCTTCCTATAAAGGGGCAGGTGGTGAATGTTTTCAGCCTTAGGGGACATCGTCTCTGTCACAGACTCAGTTCTGCTGGAGCAGCGACGTTCAGTGTGGGCAGTTCAGCGCGGGTGGGCGTGGCCATGTTCCAATAAAGCTTTATTGACAAAAGCAGGCAGGGGCTGGATTTGGCCCAGGGGTTGTGAATAGTGACCTTTCTCTGGCGAGAATCCTGGGGAGCTTTACTGAATTTCTCAGCCTCAGCGTCATCGTTGAATTTCTCAGCCTCAGTGTCATCATCAAAATGGACCAGCCCAACCCAGTGCACAGGGTTCTTGTGAGGGTGGGATTGGAAATGTAAACAAAAGTGGTACTTAAGCTGCTTACCATGACAGCTGGAGAATGAAGAGATAAATAAATTATTATGACTTGTAAGCACAGGGTTTAGCAAAAGGGACTTTTTTCTAAATTAAAACACCTTTAATGGAATGAAAATGCAGAGCAGGACAGTCAGTGTTTATCCGTTCACTGAACAAACACTGAGCATGTTTTTCTGGCCCTCTGGGCCCGGCAGCCTTGGTGACAGCCCTGAGGAGGGTTGGAGGGGTCCCCCTGCTTCCAGGACAGTGGGCCAGGGGCGCAGACAGTAAAGAACAAGGTACTTCAGCGAGAGACGGGTGCTGTGAAGACTAGACGGGTGGGCTCGGGGGACTGGGAGGGTTTCTCCGAGGTGGTGCTGTCCCAGGATCTGCAGGTAAACGGGGCCTGTCAGAAAGTGTTGGGGGATGTGCATGTTGGGGGTTGAGGGGAGGGGGCTGCAAGCATCTTCGAGGGACAGGTGTGTGCAGAAAGAAAGCCACAGGTGAGGACGGGCCTGCAGGTGAGCGGGGGGCCCGGTAGGACAGGTGGAGGGGTAGGCGGGGCCTCGGGGCTGTGAGCAAGGGGGTGGCAGGGTGTCACTCAGCACTTCCAGGGGCACCCAAAGCCGGGGTAGAATGGATTGTGAGGGGAAGAGCAGGAGGCGAGACACCAGTCAGGAGGCTGCCGCTCCACCCGGGTGGTGTCCCCAGAGGAGGTGAAGTGATGGGCCCGGGCTCTGCTTAGGGCAGAATTAGTAGGACCTGCTGTGGGGTTCATAGGTGTCCCCCCCGGGAGGGGCAGGCGGCCGCTGTGCCTTGGCCACCTGGGGTCCTGCTCTGTTTCCTCCTGGGACATCAGCCCCGGTGCCCAAGGGCCCTCACACGACACCTGGGAGACACAGCCCAGTGCTGCCCGGGGACTCCCGTGTCCTCACTGTCCCAAGCAGGGCAGTGGGGTGAGCCCCCGCTGAAGCCCCCGCTCTCCTGTCTCTCGTGTCTAACTCAGCGCTGGGGGCTGGAGGCCATGCTGTCCCCATGAGCAGAAGACCCCTGCAGGTGGGCCCATCACACTCCCGAAATTCTCAGCGGAATCCTTGGAACTGGGTCCCTTTACCTCTCAAAACAGGTCCTAGAAAGTGTGGTAGGGTCATATTTGGATAATGCCTGATATTCAAAAATCAGCTTTTTAGAGGTTTTTTTGTTTTTTTAATAATGAAAGTAGCCTGTTGGGTTTCTCCAGATAACAGCCTCTGCCCGTTAACATCCCAGAGCAGCTCCCCCTGGGCCCTCCCTTCCCCACGAGTGTCCACGACGCAGGCGGGCTGTGGGCAGATGGGCAGCTCCTGGGAGAGGAGCCGTGGAGGCTGTAGGCGCTCCCCAGAGGGTTCGTAGTCGTCGCTAGTTATCTTTGTGATTAGTCCTATAGACGTCCCCGCGGACGGTGCAGCTGGCCGGCAGGGCATCTCTGGGGGGCGCGCACTGAGTGTGTCCCTGTTGACTCCTCTGCCTAGATGTGGCTCCGACCTTCACACAGCTGCCCACGGACACCACGGTCACCGATGGGATGACAGCCACGCTGAGGTGTGAGGTGTCTGGGGCTCCCAGACCCGCCGTCACGTGGAGGAGAGGTAGGTGGCGGCCCTGTCCCAGTGGCCGGGGGGAGCTCCGTTCCCGCCCTCGCGCTTTCATTGGGTGAGGACTCGGTGGCCACGGTTCCTCCCGCTTCCAGACGCCTGAGGCGCAGAGATGAGTGAGACAGGCCGGACCCTCGTCACCTTCACGAGCTCACAGTCTGGGCTTTATTTACAGACATTTTTAAATTGTGTGACTGTCACTGTCCCTGTCTAATCCTTCCCCGGGTGCCACGGGCCGCGGGCTCCGTCACGTCCTCAGTGCTGGACTTGGAAGGAACCGGAAACCGAGGGGTCCTGGGGATATTAAAAGCAAAGGCCCACAGCCTTTCTCTTTCTAAGAAACGTGCTCCCAGCTCAGGATCATTCGCGTCCCCCGTGGGACGCGTGGCGCCCTCGGTTCCTGTGGGGAGGTGTTGGTCCCCACCGTCTCCGCAGCCCCAGTGCCCTTGGCAAGTCCCCGCTGAGCTGCGGGGCGGGGCGGCTGTGTCGGGCGGCGCCTCAAAGCCGAGGTCTCTTTCACGCCGCCTGAAGACCACAGGTGCCCCCTCGACCCTCAGAGGTGTAACCTGTGCGCCCCAGAAGATCCGGGAAAACGCAGGTTAATGGTCAGGACGGGCTCCCCCGTTTGTTATGTCTGTTTCTTGCCTGATTGAGGTGGAATCAGCTCAGAGAGCACGTTCCAAACACATCCAAGTATAAGGAAAGCTCAGCACAGTCCCCGTCCCCCAGAGGGGACCCCGCAGGCGTGAGTCACGACCTGTCCACCAAGCCTCAGTGCGGACGGCGAGGATGCTCCTGTCCGTGACTGTGAACAGCGCCAGGGGCTCCACGCGGCTACGTCTGTGCCCGGGCCCCGCCGTATCCCCGTATTTCCCGAGTGGTTTTCTGCCCGTCGCTCTGAGCACGGCCTCCCCTCGAGTGCTGTGGTCCTGACCCGCCCCTTCTCTCTCTGTCCTCAGGGAGCCGCATCCTGGCCAGCGGCTCCGTGCGGATTCCCCGGTTCTTGCTGCTTGAGTCTGGGGGCCTGCGGATTACCCCCGTCTTCGTCCAGGATGCCGGCACCTACACCTGCCACGCAGCCAACGCGGAGGGGGCCCTGGACGCGTCGGCCACGCTCACTGTGTGGAGTAAGGACGCCGCCCCCCGGGGCCCTGCCCTCAGTCCTGGTTTTGCCATCGCGTCCTCTGCCCGGGGACCTCGCGATGCCCGCGGACCTGTAGGAATCCGTTCACTAGTTAATTCCTCAGTTTCCAGAAAATAACTGGAAGGCGTGTTCCCAGGCGTAAAGGGGGCGTCTCAGGAGAGAAAAGACGGACTTTCACGTCAGTGGCGCAGGGATTGTCCCCAAGTGGCTCACGTAACAAACGGGCAGGTGGGGTGATTTTATGATCCTTATGCAAGAAAACGGAGCCAAGAATTAAAATCCTAGAGAAGGCACTTTTTTCTGTATTATCACCATAACCACCCAGGACACTCCTGGCCTGTGAAACAGGACTGCCCCCTAGATGGGAGGAGTGACTGGGGGGGTGGTTCCCTGTTCCTGTTCCTTCCTATTTTGTCTATCACACGGGGTTGGAAATGCAGAATAAACTGTTTTCTAGAATATAGGGGTTGGCTCGCCAAGTATTCCTGCCCCGTCCCGTAGTTTCACTCACCAATGAGCTGCCTCCTCTCTGCCTCAGCCGTATCTATTTTACTAAAAATTGTTCAAAATAGAAAATGAACAGATTTATCTGCGCTCGCTACTGGATTCCCGTAAACCGTCAGTGAGAGAGTTTAGCCACCCTTCAGGAAAAGCTAACTGGGCCTTTATTTCAGATCCATGTGGGCCTTTCTGATTCCGTTTTGACATCCACTGTGATAAACAGCCTTCTAAGGAGCGAGGTGTCCTGAAAACACACGAGTTTAGAAGAAGTGGGTTCCAGTTCCCCCAATATTGTCAGGAGCTGAGAAGCGGTTTGTTCCACTTGGTGGTCGACGCCTCCAGCTGCGTCTGATTCATTGTTGCCTCTAAAATTCACCGTGTACTTAAGGGCCGGTGACACACTGACGCCCCTCCCTCGGCGGGTCCTCGCCAGGCCGACGCGTGGCTCTGCTGAGACCCGAGGTCCCAACGACAGGGAATGCTGGGAGCCACGCCGGCCTGCGGGTGTCGTCCCGCACGTCCCGCGTTCTGTGCAGCCCCAGCGCCGGTCGCTCCCCCTGCACACACCTGACGCGAGTGCTCGGAGATTCTGTCCGGACGCCGCCGGCAGGTGGCCAGGCTGCCCTGAGCCCAGTCAGGTGACCCCGAGCTCGGGCTGTGCTCCTTGCTCACAGCAGCGCCCGCCTCGGACGTGTGCACGTGGCATGCGCGCCACACGGCTGTCGCCGGGCCTCACTGGGGCGGCTGCTGTCGGGGGAGACGCAGGCCTGCCCGGGCACCAGCACCCCTGTATTTCTGAGCCTCACCTCATTCCTGAAAACGGGTCCGTGATACCACAGCCTCGCGAGGCTGCTGCGAGGGCTAAAGAAGAGCCTCGGGAAAGAAAGCACTTTGCAGCGTCGCGGGGACCGGGGTGCTGATGAAGTTGGGGAAGAATCGGGGTTTTCCCTGAGTGCAGAGCCTAATGAACCTTGGCAGACGGTCCCCCACTTTCACATCGTCCAGGGTGTCTGGAGCTCCAGGCGTGGGGAAGGCTTGTTTCAGTTCCCGGGATTTCCACGCGTTTTGCAGGACAGGAGGGAGCTTGGAGGTTCTGGTGTCAGATGACCGATTCATTGCCCCGGAGGGAGGCAACTCAAGTGTGTAACTTTGTCTGAGCTGTGACCTGTGTGTTTCCAGATCGCACGTCCATCGTCCACCCTCCTGAGGACCTCGTGGTGATCAAGGGGACCACGGCCACGCTGCGCTGCGGAGCCACCCACGACCCCCGCATCTCCCTCCAGTGAGCCCCCCAGCCCCTGCAAGGACTGGTTAACATTCTGTGGGCTGAGGAAGGGAAGTTGGGGCCAGAAGGGAGAATTTCGGGGACTTTGATTCCAACCAGAGTCCTGACTCCGGCGCCGCACAGCTGCGGCCCCCCGCTAATCACCCAAATCCCACTTTCCGCGCCAGCCTTATGTATTATTCACAGGGGGTTGTGTTCCACTCCAGGCCTCCCTGCCGAGGTCACCACACTGTCTGTGGACGTCCATGTCAGAGGCTGGCACTTAATGAAGGAGAGATCCGCAGGGATCAAGGGGATTTCAGAGTGTTTACGCCGGGCTGAGCCGTCCTCAGGGGGGTTTTCTCTACTCCGAGAACAGCTCCACTGTAGACAGGGAGCAAGGAGACCTGCACAGGGAAGACAGGCACCCCAGAGTCTAACACGGTTAGAGGGAGAGTCGGGGAAAGAGGGGCCTGGGTGACTTGGGGCGTCTCTAAGGTAGTTGTTACAGCGTCTTTGAGCTGAGACTGGGAGAGGAATGCTGACAATGTGACCCTCCAGGTGAGCACGAGCCCAAGCGCAGGCGGCCGGGTGGTGAGCCCCTTCCCACACTCACTCGTTCAGATGGGTTTTCTTTGTTTTAAATTTATCTTTATTGATTTCAGAGAGAGGAGGGGAGAGGGAGAGAGAGAGAAACATCGATGATGAGAGTCATTGGTCAGCTGCCTCCTGCACGCCCCCTACTGGGGATCAAACCCACAACCCGGGCATGTGCCCTGACCGGGAATCGAACCCTGGCCTCCCGGTTTATAGGCCGACGCTCAACCACTGAGCCACACCAGCTGGACAGGATGGGTTTTCCTTTTCAGACTCAGACTCTAACATAAATGTAGAAAGAAAGACACAGCCATCCTGGTATTTGCACTCTGGGCTCAGCCTGGAAGGCAGGCAGGCAGCCAAACAGGTGAACTCAGGGTCCCCCCTGCTTTCTGGGGCACCCACTCTTGGCAGAGGGAGGTGACAGCTGACATGCACGCGGTTAACTGGATTTGGAGACCCGGCTGTTCTCTCACTCATCCTAGGCAGGTGCTTGGCAGACAGTGAGCTTCACGTCTCCAGCGGGCCCTCTGCAGTTCCCCCAGCTCAAAACCACATTCAGTTTAGTGACAAGAGTGTTGAATGAAAAGTAGACGAAAACCAGCAGTCAGAGGCCCTAGAGACCCTCGGCGGCCGTCTGAGATGCTCGTGCCTGGGGAGGCCAGCACTCACCTCAGTGGTCCGGGGGTGCCGGTCCTGGGAGGCACGGAAGACAGAGGCTGGTTCTCTGCTGAGAGCTCACCTGAATCCTCTGGGGCTCTGGTCCTCCTAACTTTTTGTGATTAAACGGAGAAACTGGAGCATCCTTCCCGAGAGGGGATTAGACGGCTCACTCGGGACTCCCTTGTCCCAGGCTGTCTCTGCCCGAGGGACACGGGCCCTGACCTGACAGTCACAGCCACAGGCTGCCCCCCAGGGCGAGCCACTCCTCCCTGCCCTCCGTGGAACCGGCCTGCCCTGTCTCGGGTGATTTCAGACAGTAGGTGGTAGACGTCTGACTCTGCACATGGGCCTCTAAAGAACAGACGCCTTCTGAAAACCCCGTCCCGTTATTTTGGGGTGAAAAGCCAGTGCTTTCGCCCTGTCTGGCTGCATGTAGTGGCCTTGCCCCCAACATCCTCAGTGAAGGCTGGACAGACACTTAGTCAGTTCTGTATCTGAAAAGGAAATTTGGCTAAAACCGTCATAAATAAGATGAAACGAGGAGGAGATGAAGTTTGAAGGACCGTCTGCCAGAATGGTTTGATTTGGAGATGTTTGTGGGGTGTAGTCTAGTCTTTTTCAGGAATTGGGGGCCACTCTGGGGATTTTTAAACAGCCGTTGCCTCCTGTGTAGGCGGCATCATGTTTTGGGGGACACGCTGGACAGGAGAGCGAGGGGCAGTGTGAGCAGGCGGCAGGTGTGAGCGGGACTCCACTCTCCCCACCTCTAACCCCGAAGGCCCCTCCCATGACTCCAGTGACCCCTCATCCCGTCCAACTTCTGTTCCTGTAGCTGTGTTACGACCACGGTGTCTGGTGGCTTTATTTTTCCCTTTCTTTTTCCACCGTATGATTCGCACGGGGTAAGATTCAGCCTTTAGAGAGCAGGCGGGGTGGTGGTAGTGCCCCCAGAGGCCGCCAGCCGCTGGCCCTGTGACCGGCAAGGAAGGACGGCTCGGGCTCTGCACTCAGGACCCTCTAACTGGAGACCCTGTGCTTGGCCGCAGCTACGTCTGGAAGAAGGACAGTGTGGTCATCAGCCCGTCCAGCAGCTCCAGGGTCGTGGTGGAAAAGGGTGGGTCCCTACTCATCAGCCAGACGTGGTCGGGCGACATCGGCGACTACACCTGCCAGATCCTCTCCGAGGGCGGGAACGACTCCCGGACGGCCCGGCTGGAGGTGATGTGAGTACCGCGCGCGTCCCCTGACCCGGCTCCTGGGCGCCAGCATCACCGAGCCGCCCGCCCTCCCCGGGGGCTGGCTCCTCGCCGTGTGACGCCCGCCCCGGCGCTCAAGCCAGTGGCCAGAGGTTGGTACCTCAGCCCCACAGGCGTGTGCACGCGGTCAGCCTGGGTTTGGAGGGCCTGACGACTGGCTCTCCTTCACCTCTTGCTCGTGTTCCCGCCGGTAACAGGCCCATCAGACCTTCCAGTGGGTGAGAAATGGCAGGATCACCCGCCGACCCTGCCCCCAGCCCCACTAGGGCACCTCAGCGTCCTGCTGCTCCATGGCTTGACTGTCCTCTGCCATTTCCACCTGGGGTTCCCGCCCGTCCAGCCTGTAGAATCCACCCCTGGGCGCCAGGTGTCCCCACGGTGGTCCCCGGGGGTCACACAGGAAGCACGGTCCCTTCCCTGCTGAGGCAGAAGCACCCAGGGGCGCAGCTCCGCGTGCCCAGTGCCCGGTGGTGTCCGCGTCACAGCAGGCGTCAGTGATGCATGCCGGTTGGTCAGAAGCATGAATGAGCGTGTGTGTTGCAGGCCGTAGGCGACCTACCTCCTGATCTCACTCGTTCCCTTCGTCCCCTTCGATGCTCACGCCCTGGGCTCCCCCCAACCCCCCTGGGAACTAACACGGAGGCTCAGAGCACACGGCCAAGAGCCTGGGCACCCAGCGCCACCCTGTTCAGCTCTGGTCCTGCGTCTCTCCCCATCCTGTCTGCAGCTCATGTTAGGGATTTTTTAAATTTTGGTAATATTGGGGTACAGGCCCGGTGAACACACATAACCCCCATTCGCATTTAAGTGCCCCCTGAGAACTCTCCCATCTTCCGTCCTGGGCGCCAGGTCGGTCCACACCAGCGTGTCCCGAGGACGCTGCCGGCAGAGGCTGGATTACACACGTCGGGTGCAGTGTTCTTTTCACTCCGAGTTTCAGGTTTTGCCGACTTACCTACCTTCCCGACTGTCTGCTTATTTGATTTCTTCTAAGTAAAATACGCTTTTCAGCAAATGCTGGCGTATCTCTGAAATCCAGGCCCCTAGTGATGGGAAAACGCCTCACCTCTGAACACCGACGTATTCACAGACCTGTGACTCGGGCCAGTCGAGGGCAGCGGCTGCCGGCTGATCCGGGAGGCAGCGGTCAGCGGAGTGAGCGCCACGGGTCCAAGTCAGGACCAACAGGGAGGCCGGAGGTCACAGCGCGGGCGTCTTCAGGCCCACACGGCTCAACTCCCCACATCAGGGATGACAGCACTGACGACAGTCGCAGCTCGTGACTGCAGGGGGCACTTTTCGAGGACTTCCCTTCTCCCACTCGCATTTCCGTGATTTACTCAGACAACAGGAAAGGAAAAAAGAAAAACCTCACACTGCAGAAGCGGCTCAGAGGTGTCACTGCCAAACAGCGACCTTCAGACCAGCCTGAAGCCGGCCCCCCCGCCTCCCACTTGAGTTAAAAGCTACTTTAAGTATAGAAATTAGGAGCATTCGACGTGGGCTTTCAAAGCGGCCGGCCACAGGTGGCCCTCGCGTTTGCTCCCCGCGTGTACCTTTCACGCCATCTCCCCTGTGGGAGCCGGGTTGGGCCCCTCACACCCAGCACAGTGGCCGCCGCCCACAACCAGCTGCCCTGGGGCCCCCCACCCTCACCAACGCCGTGACCCTCGCTGCAGCCTCCGTTTTCTCAGCTATAAACTGGGCACATTCTCCACCTCGAAGCGTTGGCGTGAGGTTTGGGTGAACCCGTGTTTGTAAAATGCCGGCCTGGAACCTGGCTCAGAGTGGACATGCAATCAGCCCAGCCCCCGAACTCCTCACCGTCTCATGAACGCACCATCCCACCTTCCTCAGCAGCACCCAGCTCCTCCCTGGGGGCCAGGAAGTCTGGTTTTTACCGTGGTCACAGCCCTGTGACCACCAGTCTGTCTGCTGCTGGGCCCTCGGTGCCTAGAACAGGGACAGGTGCAGGGGAGGTGCCCTCCCCACTGACTAGGTTGAGGTGGGTCCGTGGATTTAGGAGGCTCTGCTTTGTCCCCTCCCAGAGAGGGGGGCTCTGCAATCCCTGCTGGTCCTGTGATGCATCCTGTAAATTAACACCCCGGTCAAGGTGACACACTGGTGTTCTCTCTCCTACCAGCGGGCTGCTGCCTTAGGGCGGGCACCGTCTGGGCGACTCTGTACCCGCAGAGCAGTGCCCAGCACCCGAGGGACCAGCTCCCGAGGCTCTGTGGACTGACGGATTGTTAATCATTTAAAGGCCCAATTAGATCAGAGACTCGTTCCTGTGAACAGGGTACAGGGAACACCCAATTACAGGGCCCACAGGGGGCTCAGAGGCAGCGGGCAAGGGTCCCAATAAAACACTGGAGACAGAGCCGCAGTGAGGAGCGGACAACCTCCTACCGATTCTCGAGGACGGCCAGGCCCCCACCACCTTCTTCCTCGGAGTGGAGCTGAGGAAGATGGGTGCGACCAGTTGTCATTCCTGCGTTTCAGGGGCAGCGCTTTTGTGGAAATCTCTGATCCCAGCTGCTCTGCCCAGCAGCCCCCCCACCACGAGTTCACCAACTGCCTCCTCCCGAGGCTTCTCCAGAGCTGTTACTCCCAAAACACGCGGCCTCATCTCCTCCCCAGGCCGCCACTGGGTGCTGGCCGATTTGGGATGTTACTGTGGCCCAAGCGGGTGTGATGGCGACCCCGCCCCCAACTTCTCTTTAAAGCATGAAGTGACTCAGCACCAGGCTCCATTTCCATTGTCCCCTCCGCTCCGTCATTTGTCACCCTGTCTGCGCGTCGCCGGCCGTGAGTCACTCCGCCGGCCGCGTCTCTCCTTCGAGGTTGGCAGCAGGGCGCCGAGATGCAATCTCCCTCTATCAGATGAGACTCTCCGGAACGGACTCGGAATATATTAAACCGCGTTTATCGGTTATTGAGGGGCTAGTCGGGCCTTTCACGGAGCTTAATTTCCCAGATTCGCTTAAAGAAACAGTTTGTTTCCAAGGCGTGTTAGGAAGCCCTTTGCATCGAGAAACAGGTGAAACAACCCAAGATACTATACAGGTTTCACAGGGCATAGAGGCTGCCCCTGGGGGAGATCTAAGCTCCTGCCGCCCAAGGCCTGTGTGGAAACCGTCTGCCCCAGCGTCGTCCTGGGCGAGGCTGAGCCAGCGCAGCGGGGTCTGTTGGGCCTCCGAGGACAAGGGCTCGTAGCTTCTGGACACGCAGCGGGACATGGTGTCCTCGGCCTCCTGGGCTGAGCAGCTCGGCGCCGGCATTGGGCCTTTCCAGGCAGCGTTGCCCCTTAAGTTGCTGAGTCTTTTTCCTCTCGATCTTCTTTCAAAATGTTTTCACCTCCATCTCGGGCTCTTGGCTACCATTTTTGCTGTTCACGGTGCCCCCTCGGAGCTGGCTCACCGCCCCCTCGGTGGTGGCCCTTGAGCTGCTGGGAGGAGGGGCCTCAGGAACTACTGGCTAGGACCACGTCCTGAGAGTCAGCGGCTCCGAGGTGGCCCAAGGGACTGGGCAGAGCCTCAAAGGCGCGGCCAGCTCACACCTGGTGGGGGAAGGCGCCCAGCCTGTGGCCTCTACAAGTGACCGCGGTCTACAGAGCAGTCCAGCCCGGAGGAGGTGTCTGCTGCCCCGTCCCTGGTGGTTCCGAGCGTGCCCTCGTGTTAGGCTAAGGGAGGCGTGACTGCAGCCTGCGTGAGAGCGCCTGTTTTCCCCGCTGTGGGGATTTAAACTCGGCTCCCACACGTGGGGATCTAAGCCCACGCGAGGCCATGAGCAAGGTGCGGGGAGCCCTGCGGTTTCTCATGGGCCACAGGCTGAGCACCCTGCTTTCCGATAGGAGCCTGTCCAGCGGGAAGTGGGGCGGAGCAGAGCAGGGCTGGTCCTTGCACCAGCGAGCCCTTCATCCTGGCCCTTGGTGGACGTCCCAGGGAGGTGCGGCTGCTGGGGACTCAGAAGTAACAGCTCCTTTTCCAATTTAAAACTCATTTCACAGCACAGAGAACATAAGCCAGCGTCCCAGCTCCAGTTTATTCTTTATTGTGCCGACTTGAAGTCCCAGCCCAGTTAGAAATGCCTGTTTGTAAACGGTGCGTGTGGCTGGAGAGAGTTGCTTTCTCAGGTGGCCCCAGCACAGAACAGCATAGCCGGTTTCTAAGGGTAATGAGTACATTTTTAAATTACAGATGTCAAGTGTAATTACGGCTTTCTGTGCTGACCTGTGCGGGTCAGCCATAACTGAAGACTAAGGGAGACCAGACCAAGTTAGTGGGGGACACAGGGCGCACCCGGCGTCCACTCTCCCCCGGGTGCTTGGGAACATCCGTCGTCCATCAAGGGAAATGCTACGGGGCAGGTCCTGCTCCGGGCCCAGGAGACGCGCGGGCTCCGTCCGGGGCGTGGGCGGGCGCGATGGAAGGTGCCCACAGTCGCTGGGAGAATCCAGGCCCTTGGGTTGGGAGCTCTGGGACCAGCGAGTCCCAGGAGAGGCCTTTCCCACTGTATCCTCAGAGCCTGCCTGCTTCCGCTGCGTTCCCACTCTGGGGCCTTGCTCGTGTGCTCTTTACTCTCTCCTGGGGTTTGCTGGTGTCCCCGCTGCATCTCCCTTTCCGCGCTTCTCCCAGATCCCCAGCACCGAGCCAGAGACAGGGCGCTGTCAGCAAGACGGCCACCAGGGCGTCGAAAAACACACATGGGCGTTGTGGCCAGAACTCCAAGTGCCTGGCGTCGGAAGCCCGTAGTAGGTCACACGTACCCGGCCTCTCTGTTTACCTGGCCTACTGCGTTTTCACAAAACGCCTCCCGGTGTAAAACAGCTGCTGACCAGCTTTTCTCCATTAAATAATAGTGTGGAAAGTCGTGCCCTGCCTCCCTCCTGATTAAGTTAGAGGATCGCCGGCTGTTTCTATTCCCACCGGGGGGGCTCAGGCACATCCTGCTCGGAGAGTAAAACGTGTGAGGGGTGAAGGAGCGGGCTTACCTGGCCGGGGGTAACTGGTATTTGTGTTCAGGGCATATTTTATGTTCTCCGTTTTCGAAACATGACGCACCAGGACCGCGTGGCGTGGGCGGCAGGCTGGCCACCAAGCCTGATGTGTGTTTCTTTTCTCTGTCCCTTGGTACCCAGCGAGCTGCCTCACCCCCCGCAGAACCTGCTGGCCAGCCTGGACGCCTCCCGCAGCCACACTGTGCTGCTGTCCTGGGTCCGCCCCTTCGACGGGAACAGCCCGGTCCTGTACTACGTCGTGGAGCTGTCAGAGAACAGTGAGTAGCCGGGCACGGCTGACCGGGCCGTCCTCCAGTTTCTCTCTGCGCTGTGGTGTCCTGGGCCTTTCCTTTGGGCTCAGGCCCCAAACAACAAGTGAGTCACCACGATGCTCTGCGGAGTTGCCCACGAAAACCACAGCTCGGCTTCAGGAAACGCGGAAGGCGAGGGGAGCCCAGCGGGGGCAAGAGGGATGGTCGAGGGTCACCTGTGGGAGCCTGGGTTTGGGGCTGCGGCCCCACCAGGTGGCTTTGCATATGTCTGCCCTGAGCAGGGTCCTGGGTTCGGTGTTGTCCCCAGGGCGAACCCTAAAATGGGCTCCTAATGCCCCAGCTTGGGGCCAGTTTGAGCGTCAACCACAACAGTGATTGTGACCATATTTGTGTGTCTCCTTGGGTGCAGCCTGGTGCCCAGTGTCCAGTGGGCCCTTCCCTCCTTGCCACCCGGGCCGTCCCCAGACCTCCTCCTTGGCTCTCCTCCAGCCCTCGGCATCTCCCGTCTCTTCCCCCTTGGGGTGGCCTCAGGACAGGCTTTCAGGGCCTCCTGGATGTCCTCGCAGGGGCCCCTTCTGCTCGATCTTTATAACATCTGTGCCCAGACCTCTCTGGTTGTCTCAGAGACACCTCCAGCTAAACTTCTTCCAACTCTGTCCTCACCTCCTGATGCAGCCGGTCTCCGGGCCTCACTGTGTCTGTGCTGCTCAAGCCAGAAGCCCAGAGAGGTCCCTCGGCTCCTCCCCTGTAGTTGCCATCCCCTCATTTCACTGGGAAAGTGACTGAGAACATCCTTTGTCCCTCCTGCGCTCCTGGCTCCCTGCAAACCTAACTGGAGCCGCTCAGACCCCCAGCTGTGTCTCCTTCAGCCCTGTAATGTGGAAGGATCCACACTCTCCTGCACTATCATCATCATCATCGCACGAGGAACCTGAGGAGACGGGGTGCTCGTCCACCTCAGGCTGACCCCGACCCGGGCCGTGCAGAGTCAGCCTAGTCTCTGCTGAGCCGGCTGCGCTGTGTCCACCGGTCAGCTGCGTGTCTTCCTGCCCAGCACCATCTCTGTGCCCGTGACCTGGTTTTTTTATTAGGAACCAGAGCCCTCAAGGCGCAGCTGATTGTGAGAGCTGATTATGGTCGGGAAGACCGGCCCAGCCACGAGGACGCTGAGATGGAAATTGTATTTGATCTGCACTCAGCGCTGTGCACGTGGACGACTCTGGAGAGCCCCATCCAGCAGTCGCCCTTCAGCCACTCAGTGCCCTCTGCAGCCAGCTCCCGGCAGGCTGAATAGGAAACCGCGGCTCCAACGCGGCCAAGCCGACGGCTGCGGTGCAGAGATGGGCACTCACGCCTGCCCCACGCCAAGCCAGCGTCGCCAGCGGGCCTCTTCGGAGCTTTCGTGGGGCTCAGAACTTGAGCTGAAATGCAAACTCTTTGCTCCCTCAGCTCAAATCCCGCCTCTCTTCACTCTGAATTCTTTGTGCTCTTTGGCCATTTTCTCTGACTCCGTGAGGATTTCATTTCCAGCCATGCCCCCAAAATGTAGGCCTCCCATGGCTTCCGTGGCCAGGACACTGGCTCCATTCTCCGTGCTCTCCCTCGCGATGCCCAGCACCCGTCCACCTTCCCCCACAGGCTGTCTCTCCCACACATGCGATTCCAGCCTGGATCTGCCCCCAAGCTTCGGGCTCATGTGACCAGGTGGCCTCTGGACATCTCACCTGGATGTCCCGCAGATTCTTCAAACTCAGACCATCAAAACAGAACTCGCCGTCCACTCCTGACATTGCTCTTTCCCAGGCTGGAAACAGGTCATTCCTGAATCCCTGTCCCTCCCTGTCCCCACCTGCAAATAAGAACATTCTGTTGGTTTGACCTTGTAAGTGTCCTATCGAGTCCCTTGGCCCTCTCCATTCCTGCAAACCCGTCCTGGCCGGGGCTGCCCGCCTCATATCTACCCTCCACGGAGCCGCCCGCAGGAGCGCTTGGCCACACCCGACCGGGTGAATGTTCTCGCTGCCTGAAACCTCAGGGGCTCCCCACAGAAGGCGCCACCGCGGAGCTGGGCAGCGAGCCTCTACCCTCCGCAGTCACCTCTGACCTCCCAGGGCGAGCCTGTGCTCCGGACACGGCTGCGGACGCGTCCCTAGCGCGCCTTCTACCCAGATCGCTAGCCCCATGCCTCTCCACACGCGTCCCCACTGCTTAGGAGTAGGCTCGGGGTTCACAAGCGTGGTCCAGGGCACCATTTATCATCGGCCCGCCGCCTGCCGCCAGATACATCTCCAGCCGCTCGGGCTTGGCTTTCCGTGCTGGGCAACAAGGCATCGCTCCCCCATCCCTGCGCCCACAGGGATGAGCGGTGCCCCTGACCGTTCCCGGCGGGCCCGGGAGCTCCCCCCACCCCAGCCCGTCTCCGGTCAGCTCCTGTGTCCATCTCCTCCCAGGGGCGCCGTCTTGTGTCCTGCTCAGCACTCCTGGCACCCGGTAGGCAACACAGGCCCTTGGGGCACCGGGCAAAGGCAGGGCACCGACACTAATGAGAACGTTAGAAGGAGACGGTAACTTCTACCCAAGTCTGCAGAGACGTTCAGATTTACGGTTCCGAGCTCCGTCTGGGCCTTGGAGCTGCCCACGCGGCATCCCTTTGATTACTGGGGCTGTTGGACACTTTTCCAGGCCGGTTGGCTTCCTGCGCTGCCATCTGTCAGTGCCCCTTTCCCTGTGTTTCTGTCAAGGCCTGAGGGCTTTTTCTGTCATTTGTGACAAGTATGTTTTCAACTTGCTTTTTACCCTTAATTTCTGTGTATTACTTCTCGGCAGACCGAGGCATTTGATTGCTAGGTACTTAAATCTGTGGGTATTTCCTCTATGATTTCTTCTACTGCTTCCACATTTGGCTATTTCAACACCGTCGAGCGCAAAATACGGCTGCTTACACATTTTCTTGCTTTGGAAGCTTTACCTTTAACTCTTTAGTGCCCCTGGAACTCAGGTGCGTTGCGTCTTCTGACACGGGGCTTTTTTTCCCTAAGTGACCTCCACTTACCCACAGAGTTTACTGAACAACAGCGTGAACGTGCCTCGTGTCACTGAACAGGACACCTAATGGCGGTTGAGATGATAATTATGTTACGTGTATTTTACCTCAATGAGGAGTCAGTGACCACTGAGACTGTCCCGAGCGTGAGGCCACAGCACGTGCCGCTGGCACAAAGCCAGTCCAGGGGTATTGGGCACGTTCCCACGGTTGTGTGGCCACCACCGTCTCCAGGACTTTCCACGCTCCCACACTGAGACTCCGCACCCATGAAGCACTCGCTCCCCACCCCCAGCACCCACGCTCCTGCTTTCTGTCTCGGGACCTGCTGTAAGTGGAGTCGCACAGACGGTGTTTGTCCTTCTGCGTCTGGCAGATCTCACTGAGCACAGTGTCCTCAGGGGCCATCCCCGTGGCAGCAGGGGTCAGAGCTTCCTTCCCTTTAAGGCTGAGTACTGTCCCTTTGTCTGGATGGACATTGGTTCACCCACCATCCCCAGTGGGCACGGGCTACTCCCACCTGTTGGCTGGGTGACTGCTGTCACCGTGGGGAGGTGTCCCTTCGAGACCGACAGTTCTCTGGGGCACATGTTTTGAAGTGGAATCTGGGTCATACGGTGGCTCTATTTCTAATTTTTTGAGGAACCGTCATGCGGGTCTCCATAGTGGCTGCACATTCACACTCCCACCCACCGTGGCCAGGCTCCACCTTCCCCGCGTCCTCGCCAGCACCTGCTGTTTCCTGCCAGCAGCCGCCCCAAGGGAGTGAGGCAACTCTCAGGGCGGTTTTGACTTGTCCCGCATTTGACAGAAGAAACTCAGACTGAACTGAACTGCCAGTGGAAGAGCTCAGCCACCGCGGGCTCTGATTTTTCTCCTGCCTGTCAATTGACTTCAGACGGGAGCCCTGCTCCGCTGCGGCCTGGCAGCAAGGAGAGGCCCCGGTTCCCACCAGCAAGGAGAGGCCCCGGTTCCCACCAGCAAGGAGAGGCCCCGGTTCCCACCAGCAAGGAGAGGCCCCGGTTCCCACCAGCCTCGTCAGTGCCCCTGAGGCTGGGGCGGCTCTGCCTCCTTGGTGCCGACAGACCCTCTTCTCTGGCCGGAGGGCCTCGGCCGCCGGCGTGGAAGACTCTGCATGAGTTTCCCGTAGTCAGCTGGGGCTGCACGCGCTGCAGTTCCTAAGAAACATGAGAGGAGCCTCGTCAGCTGTGGGTCACCTACGTCACTGAAACCAGGAGCCAGAACACTGACATGCCCAGGGGTGGTGAGGGCCGTGCTCCCAGAGCTGTTTTGGGAAGCAGTTTTATTTGAAATAATTAGATTCAGCCTGTGTGGCCCAGCTCCATCCTGTTCAGAGCAGGGTAACTTTGCTGAGGAGCCCAGCTAACAGATGCCTTGGTGACAGGCAGTCTGTGCTAGGGGCACCCAAGTTGCTATTGAGGCCCGTTCCATCTTGGAGCCGTCGTGGCTGCTGCTTGGACCCGGAGTGAGTGGGGTGTTTCTGCCCGGCCCCCAGGTGCAGACCGAATCCCCCCGGGACGGGGCTGTGGGTGTGTGAGCTGCAGCGTGCACGCAGCTGGCCCTGTCCGCCGTGGGTGGGACCATCTCCTCACCTTCTCCAGCGGGGGCGACAGGGACTCTTTCACCACTTCCGGGAATGAGGAAGAGTGTGGTTTCCACGGGAACCTCTCCCTGAGAACCTGGAAATGCAGCTCAGGCGTGCGAGCCGCTCGGAGCGGGAGCTCATCGTGGGTGCTCGACATCCTTGCCAGGTCTCGCCCATCCAGGGTGTCCTCCACGAAATGATCGGACCAGAGGACACCTAAGCTCTGCAAAAAAGTCACGCAAGCCCAGTGGGCCCCTGAAGCCTGGCAGGCGGGAGCCCTGGCCCGGAGCGGCCGGCACACCTGCGCTCGCTGGGCGAAGAGACTCCGCGCCGGCTGCGAGCCTCTTTATGTCTCCAGCCAAAGCCACTCAGGAGCGCGGCGGGGAGCGGGCGCCACGCAGATGGGCTGCAGCCTGGGCCCCCATCTGTCTTCATCGTGCTCGTTTCCGCTTTTATTAACATGCTAATGAATGTGGTCTTATTTATTGCTGGATGACACATGCAGCACCCTTTTCTGGGAGATGAATCTGCAGTCTGCCTGCCCACGTGAGCGGCAGCCGGCTCCCAGCGCTGTGCGGCGAGCACAGGAACGAGGGCCAGGGTGACCCACTGAGGCTGCCACGGGCAGGGCGCACAGAATGCCCCTTGCTTGTTGACAGCACCACGGAGTGACGGGAGGCACCCTGGACTGAGCGGGAGCTGGAGTTCAAGGCCGGCCTCACAGGTCACTAGCCCGTGGCCCTGAGCCTCAGTGTCCACATCTGTTAAGTGGGGCCACCACGCGTCCCCACGGCCGCCGTGCTGAGCCTGTGAGCTAATTCACGGGACGTGTGGCCGCTCGCTTGTTACTCCTCAGACGTGGCTCACACAGGCTTTGACTTTGTTCCTCTCCTTCTTTCAGACTCTCCGTGGAAAGTGCATCTGTCCAACGTTGGCCCCGAGATGACGGGCGTCGCCGTGAGTGGCCTGACCCCAGCTCGCACCTACCAGTTCAGGGTGTGTGCCGTGAACCAAGTGGGCAAGGGCCAGTACAGCGCCGAGACGAGCAGGTGGGTGATGCGCGTCCCTGGGCGGTGACAGGGAGCAGCATGGGCCTGACAGTAAACGGAAGCGTGGAGGGAGGTGGAGGGAACAGACCAAGGAATCAGCCCCCAGCCCAGCAACCCTGGCAAAGTCATGGGCAGGGCTGACCCCAGACAGACATACAGTTGGACGAGCTGGGGTGCCGCAGCTGCTCTGAGCAAAGGCTCTTAGACCTGTGGTTCCTGAGAGCATCGGCCTCCGCGCACGTGCAGTCAAGAGTTTACGGTGCTTATGTCCATCCCGACTGCCAGACAGGTGGGAGCGGTGCCACCGCCTGACAGAGGAACACCTCGCCGGGTGGCATGGGGGAGCTGAGTGAGCTCAGGGTCCACGGGTGTCACCTTCCTCAGTGGTTCCCCTGCATCCCCAGGCTGCAAGGGTGGGAAACAGCGTCATCCAGTATCAACATGCCCCAGCCCCCAGCCAGCCCAAGCCCTCCATGGGCGTGAGTCAGAAACTAGTGGAACACGTGCCTCTCTTCAGAGCGTGGAGTTTGACGTGAGAAGTTGGAAAGAGCCAAGAACAGTTTGGAGGCGCCCGAGGCGTGGGCCTGTGGGCCGGCCCCCTCAGGCACACAGGGCTCTGACAAAGCCCCGCACTGGGCTTGTCGGACCGGGCAGGCCTCCTCCAGCGCAGCCTGGCGCTTGCTGGGCTGACTGGCTGTAACTGTGTCACGCGTGACCCTGCCATCTGGGCAGCTGTGCATCACTTCATTTTGGTGAATAGTTGGGCTCAACATCCAGCAGGACAGAAAATGCAAACGAGCCTCCTTGGTGTCTGGCACTGATCTCTCTTTCCCTGTCTTTTATTTTCAGGTTGATGTTACCTGAAGAACCACCCAGCGCTCCCCCGAAAAACATAGTGGCCAGTGGGCGCACCAACCAGTCCATCATGGTGCAGTGGCAGCCACCCCCGGAGACAGAGCACAACGGGGTGCTACGGGGATACATCCTCAGGCAAGTAGCCTGGGGCTGGCCCCTGCCAGACTGTCATTCTACAGGGTCAGGGTCTGCTTGGACGAGATTGCAGACCTGAGTGTTTACAGGAGCCGGGTGGTCAGCAAGAGTCGGACAGCTGGGGGGCTCCAGGGAGTGGTGGGGAGTGCGACAAACATGGGGCAGGGAGCGCAGGACATGGCAAAAGCTCTGTCTGCATGTCCAGGCACAACATGTACACGCACAGAACAGTATCAGTGGCTGCATTTTGGCAAAAGCATCGTGGGGAACAGTATGGGTTGGGGGCAAGGTGCGGTCTTCATTGTACATCCTTTCATTCTGCATCTGCCCCAGGGGCCACGAATTACCACCTGCCGTGGTTTTTAATGAATAATAATACAGTTGATTGACGAACCGGCCAGTTATCGGCCAGTTATCATGTTGTTCAGCGTTGCCAGCTTTTCTCATGTTTCAAAGAAACTTAAACTCTAGCTTGTTACAAGCAGCCTCACAGCTTTTCAACACTGGGAATGAAATCCAGGCGCTTTGGAAGACAGGGCAGGCCACACTCACTCACCTGCAGGCCAGCGTGGCCCGAGCGTGGCCAGTGTCTGCCTCGTGGGGCGGTTGGGCCTGTGCGAACGTGGGAGACCCTGCCGATGGGGCTGCGTTGAGGGCCGACACCTCCTGTGCCGGAAACACGCTAACTTAAAAACCACCAAATGTGGTCATTGCCGTGGTTTGTGACACAAATGAAAAGAGAAACAAAGCACGAGATTGTTACTAAATCTCTCCTGATAGATGGTACAGCCGTGGCGTATTTGTTGACCTGACGTGAACTCTGACTCCCTCGCCAGCCTGGGGGCAGCACCGTAGGTGCCGTTCTCATCTCCGAATGCCCGGCCCGCCCGCCTGAGCATGATCAGATCTGAGGCTAACACAGGGCTCAGTGGGACAATGTCCTTTCTTAGGTTAACCTAAGAGATGGCGAAAGTGTCGCTTCCTGGACTCTGATGTCTTGCGTGTGGAGGACAGCTCCCTGGGGTGCATGCAGTGTCCCCCATTCATCATTTCATAATGTCTGTTACTGGGGGCACTTGCTTGTCACAGCCAAGTCCCTGCGATCCTCAGGTTCCTCCCCAGCACCGGCCAGGCCATCGTGTGCCTGAGGGACTTAAACCAGCTATCCCTGGGGTACAGGCCTGCAGGGCAGAATCAGCTGGCCCCTGGGTCACTGTGCCCCCAGTTGCCCTTCCCCATTGCAGAGGAGGGTGAAGAGACTGCCATCTGCCCCCTGCAGGCAGGGGGCACCGTGGGCTCTGGTCCCTGTGGGGTGCTCCCCTGCCTGAAGGCTGACCTCCGTCCCTCAGGCCACACGCCCCCTGTTCAGCTGTCATTGTCTGTGCTCATTAACTAACGAAAATGACTGGCCTTGCCCCTCGGCCCGGCCCCCGCGTGCTCCTCACCCCAGCTGCCTCTGTTTTGGGGCACGTGGAGGAAAAGTTTCCTTAGGCTCCAGCTGCCACGTGAGGACTTTAACAGCCCACGGAACCCAGATGGGGGCCTGCAGTTTAATACAAAATCCCTCTGACGTCGTGAGGCCCCATCGTGGCCCGAGTTTCTCTGTTTGTGGGATTACTGCTGTTAAAAGGATTTTCTGTGATGTGCCGGTGGAGTCGAGTGCTGGAGAGAGGGCATGGGCTTGTTGGGGCTTAAATCAAGAGAGCCCTGAAGTGAGGGTGCAGCGCCCGGGGCCCGCGAATATCAAAGTTGTCGGGAATTAAAGACCCGTGCCGAAATGAATCTGCTTGGAGACATTCCGAATAATCCTCCGGCCTGCAGATCAGCTGCTTGCAGCCAGCGCCCCCTCCTCTGGGCGCACATCCCCCCGCCTGGTCTGAAGCCGCCGCGGAAGAGCGGAGCGGATAAACCTCCGGCCCGGCCCCGGTGTGAGGAGTTGCTAGGATGCCGGCGAAGTAATCAAATATTTATCATCGTGGGCAGGGTGTTTCTTTGTGAAGAGCATAAGGGTTACATCCTTTGTCAGGGCTCTCCTGTTATTTCTGAATAAAAAATCATCTTGTTCCATCCGAGACAGTCTCCCGGGCAACGCATCCCGCCAGTCAGAGGGTGGCCCGCCCTCCTGTTATTAATCATGAGTGACCTTCCGGGACGCTCTGTGGCTGCCACAGAAGCACCCAAGCCACTGGTCAGGACGGACCACCTGCCGCCGCCGAGAACAGCAGCCCGGGTCCCGGACGCGGATTCTGCGGCCTGTTTTGCTCAGACGTGGAGAGGCCTGGAGGAGATGAGGGCTGGCACAGGCCTCGTTTCTCAGGACTCGGCTCTCTGCCCACCTCCTCCGAGAGGCACCTTCAGAAAGGAAGTCTGGGTGGTTTACACTGTCGCCACCCTTTGCTCCACAGCCGTTGCATTCCTGCCACCTGTGAGGTGCCGTTAGTATTGTCATTTTTCCGGAGGCGGAAACCCAGGGGAAGGTCAGGGTGGGTTGAGACCACCGGCTCATTGGTCGCCTTCCCAGCCTGAGTTTTCAGGAGCTCCTTGCTTTTCCCTGGATGTGCATTGTGCGTGGTGCCCCCACGAGCGAGCTCTTCCTAAGCCATCACGCCCAGTGCGTGCCACATGGTCACAGGTGGCCCTGGGCCCGTTCGCACACCAGGGCACTGGTGTTCCATGTGGGCGTGAAGCCAATGTTTACCTTTTTACAGATGGCTGTCCAACAGTCTCAGTGCCGTTTATCCCAAAAGTTCATGTTTTGTACGTGGGGAGCCTCAGTGACAATATCTGTGCCAGTCCTCTCTCCCCACCATTAGTCATTACTGCCTTGAGGGCCATCACGTGGCATAAACGATTTCACGGACCTGCCCACACTTGCTCTCGCGGGTGGTCCCTGCAGTGAAGGGCTGCCAGCTCAGGAGGGCGCAGAGGTCGTTGGGACATGAAGCAAAATGTGGTTTAGTGCATGAACCACATAAGGACACTGCGTCCCAGCAGTGCCACCCGCCAGGCCATGGACACAGCAGCCTCAGGCCTCCGTGACTTTCCCATCCCACAGGCCTCACCAGTGCGGGTGCTCGTAGCAAGAGGGGGAGACTCCTCAGAAGGTCCTGGTTTTCATGAGGAGCCTGTTCTGGAAATTTCAGTCCTTCCTCGGTGCGTTTCCCGCCCTCCTCTCCAGGAGAGCTCTTTGCCATCCAGGGGCCTGAATGTCGGGTTTCTCCTCTGCCCTGGTGGTGGCCTTGCTGACGTGCCGGTCCGGCCTGGGCACAGCGCAGGTCACTGACGGATTCGGCAGCCCTCGGAGTCTCTCTGCATCCGGGGGGAGCCTGGAACCTCAACCTGCCATAGACACAGTGGGCTCCCTGCTGTCTCTGCAGCTGTGTCCCCGTGCCTGCTCCCCTCTCCACTTATCTCGCAATGCCAGGCCTTCCCCGGGCAAGAGCCGCTGCTTGGATGGAATTCTGATGCTGCGATGCCACAAGGTGGCTGAGGACCTGCGTGCGCGCCCTCACTTCCCCCAGGGCCCCGATTACCTCCTCTAAATGGAATCCGGGACGTCGCTCGCTCCTGGGAATAGTGCTGTGCGGGTCCTTCCAGAACACAGACAGCCGCCTCCTCACTCACACACCGAGCCCAGGGGCTGGCGAGTCGCTGTTCAAATGAACCAGCTTTAAATGTCCGCCTTGGTGCACTGCAGGTCCTGCTGCTCGCACTCCCAACAGCCACTGCAGACGGACTGTCACCCTCAGCGGGGCCTAGCGTGTTGGGAGTGTGAGCACCTGGGAAGGCCTCCCTCTGGTCCTGGGACCCACCTGAATGAATCCAGGACTAATTGGAGCCAGAGCCGCCAGCCCCTGTTCCCCCCACTCCAGCCGCAGGAGAAAGGCGCTGCTCCGATGGGCCGGCAGCAGCCCCCGGCCAAGGTCACCTCGGGAGCTCTGGGTGCCTGGGCCCTGCACTCCCGAGACAGTGACACTCGAAAAGCTGGAATCTTTCCTTAGCCTCGAACGGAGTTCACGGTCAGCTCTGTCCACCCAAAGCTCACCATCCCCGCGAGGTGAGGTCAGGCCTTTCTAACGGTGAATTCGAGGTGGTGATGTGCGGGGCTCACCTCCGGCCTCACCAGTGTTTCCTCACTTCGCATCCCTCCACCCGTCAGAGCAGCTGCAGCAAACCAGTTTCCCGTCCTGGTCACCCCCTGCCGTCCTGCAGGGAACCAGTTTCCCGTCCTGGTCACCCCCTGCCGTCCTGCAGGGAACCAGTTTCCCGTCCTGGTCACCCTGCTGTCCTGCAGGGAACCGTTTCCCGTCCTGGTCACCCCCTGCTGTCCTGGAGGGAACCGGTTTCCGTCCTGGTCACCCTGCTGTCCCGCAGGGAACCGGTTTCCGTCCTGGTCACCCCCTGCCGTCCTGCAGGGAACCGGTTTCCGTCCTGGTCACCCCCCTGTCCTGCAGGGAACCGGTTTCCGTCCTGGTCACCCCCTGCCGTCCTGCAGGGAACCGGTTTCCGTCCTGGTCACCCCCCTGTCCTGCAGGGAACCGGTTTCCGTCCTGGTCACCCCCTGCCGTCCTGCAGGGAACCGGTTTCCGTCCTGGTCACCCCCCTGTCCTGCAGGGAACCGGTTTCCGTCCTGGTCACCCTGCCGTCCTGCAGGGAACCGTTTCCCGTCCTGGTCACCCTGCCGTCCTGCAGGGAACCGGTTTCCGTCCTGGTCACCCCCTGCCGTCCTGCAGGGAACCGGTTTCCGTCCTGGTCACCCCCTGCCGTCCTGCAGGGAACCGGTTTCCGTCCTGGTCACCCTGCCGTCCTGCAGGGAACCGTTTCCCGTCCTGGTCACCCTGCTGTCCTGCAGGGAACTGGTTTCCGTCCTGGTCACCCCCTGCCGTCCTGCAGGGAACCGGTTTCCGTCCTGGTCACCCCCCTGTCCCGCAGGGAACCGGTTTCCGTCCTGGTCACCCCCTGCCGTCCTGCAGGGAACCGGTTTCCGTCCTGGTCACCCCCTGCCGTCCTGCAGGGAACCGGTTTCCTGTCTGAGCCACCTCTCTGCCCTCCCCCAGGTACCGTCTGGCCGGGCTGCCCGGGGAGCACCAGCAGAAGAACATCAGCAGCCCCGAGGTCAGCTACTGCCTGGTGACCGAGCTGATCGTCTGGACGCAGTACGAGATCCAGGTGGCCGCCTACAACGGGGCGGGCCTGGGCGTCTTCAGCAGGGCGGTGACCGAGTACACCTTACAGGGAGGTGAGCAGCCGTCCCACTGGGCAGCCGTTGCTGAGGGCAGGGTTTGTGACGGTCGGCCGGAGCAGCTGGAAGTAAAACGCAGGGTTCCTGCCCGAGCGGGTATGGCTCGTGGTTGGGGCATTGGCCAGGGACTGAGGGTCCGGGTTCGAGTCCCAGTCAAGGGCACGTACCTTGGTTGCAGGCTGGATCCCCAGCCCTGGTTGGAGTGCGTGTGGGAGACAACCAGTCGATGTCTCTCTCTCTCGCCTCGATGTTTCTCTCCACCCCCCGCCACTCGAAGAAATCAATGAAAAAAATACCCTTGGGTGAAGATTAATCAAAAAAAAAAAAGAGGGTTCGATCCCCTACTTGCCCAGGAGAGCAATTTTCCCACAAAACCCGAAACCCTGTTCCGCTCCCTCTCCTAACACGCAGCTGTGGTTTCACTGCCCCCAGGCCTTGGCCTGTTGAGATGACAAGGTTTCTAACTGCCCACTCTCTCCCCAAACCGTGCCCGAGGCCTGATAGTACCACCTTCCCTCATTGATCAGCTGTCTGTCACCCCGGGGACAATACATCAATCCTCCCCAAAAGCAGGTGCCGCGGGTCTGCATCCCCAGTGACCAGCGGGAATGTTCCAAATGCAGGACAAGCCGGAAGGACCCGCTCACCGGCGAGCAATTCTGCTCCTCACCGGAGAGAGAAAATACTGAAAACCAGGACAGGGAGTGTTTGCTTTAATCAGTCTGTTGCCTAGGATAGCAGTAAATCTGGAAACACTTAAAATGAGACTGTTGGTGTTAATACCCCCAAAAACTGTGAACCAGGCAGGACGGCCTCGCTTTGTCACCAGCGTGTGGCGTTCTCACAGGGCCGAGGGGAGCGGAGACGGGCGTCGAGGCCGCAAAGTGTGGCCTTGACCCGGTCGGCACTGGGAACCCATTAAAGATTCAGAGCCATGAGTGACATGGTCACAGGTGGTATCAGGAAAAATGAATCCATCGTGGTGACAGGCAGGCAGGAGGGGAGCTGACAGTTTGGCTATAAGGTGACGANGACAGGCAGGCATGAGGGGAGCTGACGGTTTGGCTATAAGGTGACGAGCCCCCAGCTCTGGCGCTGCCAGAGAAGGGCAAGGGGCACGTGTCTGGGTGGTGCGAGGGGACACGTGTCTGGGGGCTGCTGTGCCGTTTTCAGACAGCTTCACACCAGCTCCCTCTGTGTACCTGGGGAGCACCTGTCAGCTGAGTACAGCTAAGCCCCAGGAGCACGCGTTCAAGGTGTCCTGGACAGTTACATCTGAGGGTCCCAGACAGTAATACCCGGGGCGTCCTGGACAGTGGCCCTGGGCGTGGAAACAGGGCTGGGGCCCAGCCCCTCCCTCAGATTGTTTGCAAATGTAGCGAGGGCCGGGGCATCTTGGTCTGCAGCCATTTACACGTAAGGAAATTGGACGTCATCTGACCCGAGTGCAGCTGGGCTGAGATCATGTGACTGACAGGTGGCAGAACCAGCAACTGCTCTGAGTCAAGACCACTGTGTTTGGGCAACGTCAGCAGCCTCTGGGGTCGTTGTGACCTCCGAGCAGACTTCGGCCACGTCTGTGACGCTTGGCCAGGGCGCCCCCTCTCTGCCTCCCTTTCCACAGCGACGCCTGCAGAGGGAGGAGTCCGACCCCGAGGACAGTTTCTAGACGTAAGATGCTGTGACAGAGTCTCACACTGGTGCCTGCAGCATGCCTCGGGGGCCTTCGTAGTCGCCACATTGGAATTAGAAAGGGGAGCCCACAGCTCCCCCAGGGCCGCAGCCCCAGCCCCAGCCCCAGCCCAGGGCCTGTCCGGGCAGGAGCTGAGCACACTGTGTGCTGCCGGGAGCCCTGTGGGTGCGCGACATGTCCCCCGCGGCCATTAGCTCTGATTGTCGAGAAAGCCTGGAGGACCGAGCCCATCCTGGAAGCTGAAAGGAAGTAACTAAAATGCCTGTATGTTAGAGGGAGAAAGAATAACTTATAAAACTGAGTATTTGTCGGCCTGATTTGGGAGACGGCTGGAATGTGTGTAAACATAACCCCAGACTCTATCAGGAGAGCGCGGGAAGTGGGAACACGGCCACAGGAAGAGAAGCCCCGGCCAGCTGCCTCCCTTCCCTCTCCTCCTGCCACGTGCAGGCTCCGTTCATCGGGGGAGTGAGAGGTCCGTGACCTGGACAGTAATAGGCTCTTTGGATGTAGCTCCTTCCAGAAGGTGCTGGGACGGTGGGGACAGACTGTGCGGCTCCCACTCCGAGAGCCACTGTCACCGCCCCCCTTTCTTCCTGCAACATCAGCTCAGCCACGTCCCCATTGTGGAGACAGGGTTATGTGAGGCCACCAGTGGTTCAGGTTCGGGGCCACGACCTTGTGTGCTTCCCAGGGCCCGCTTTTGTCACCAGTTGTCCAGCTAGTGGTGGAGCCGCAGGAAGAAATAACGTGACTGTGGAGTTGGCAGGTGAGCCTGCTCGTGGAGCCGTCGGAATCCCGTGTGAGCCACACGAGCCGCGTGGAACAAGCCGTGTGGACTGGCGACTCTTCCCCTTTTCTTCCCACGTCCACGGAGATACAGACGTCGGTTCCCTTCGAAAGGGTCCAAGGACAAGTTACACTACAAGTCACCATTCTGAGCACCCGGAGGTTTCATTGTCTCCCGGTTTTCTCTCTTTAGCGTTTCTCTTCTGTAGCTGGTGCTTTTGTGCCGTGATCGTCCGTCCTGGTTTCAGAACATTACCTCCTAACGCAAGAGGAACGTTTCCTGTTCGGAAAGAAACACCCACGTTCCTGAAGCCCTCGCTCGGCCCCTGGCGCTCACTGGCCTTGGGAGGGCTCTGAGGGAGGGACCCCAGCGAGCAGGCGCTGCTGGTGAGCCGTGTCCGGTGGGCTCGGGCTGTGTTGAATTTAAGACGGGAGCACGCTGGGCCCCACGCCCGGGTGTTCGTTACCTGGTGAAATGGAGTTTATTGAGCAATGAAAATTATCCGGAGGAAACATCCCGGAGGCCTGCTTTCAGAGCAGCAGGGGGCCCTGGCTTCCTGCTCGGACCCCGTGGGTCTGCACCCTCTGCGAACACCAGTCCGGCTCAGGCTGAGCCTCGGAAGGGAATTTGTAATTCCATTGTCCACAGATGTGCTTCTCACTCCGATGGCAACGGTTAGAGAAAGAGAAGAGGGCTGAGAAGAATCAGAGAGGTTTAGGTAAAGCCGGATCCGGGGAGAGGGCCTGCGGCTTTCGAACCTCTGCCCTGTGAGGGGGCCGGAGCCCCTGGGCTCTGAGGGAGGGGTGGCACGGGCAAAGCGATGCTGGCACCTCCCAGGAGATGAGGAGGGTTCGTTTTTGTATAAGGTCTGGGGTATGGATACAGATTTATTTTTTTCTTTGCATATGGACATCCATTTTTTCCAAAGAATTGCCTTTGGCATTCATCAAAACCCAATTGATACGTATGTGGGTAACTTCTGGGCTCTGTGTCATCGATCAATGTGTCCATCTTTCCTCCAGTCACATTCTGTTCTAATGACTGCGGGTTTATAGTTTGTATTGATACCATGGACTGACGGCTGTGCAGTTTTGTTCTGTTTCAGAATCGTATTGGCTATTTCATTCCTTTACTTTTCCCCATACATTTTAAGGTCAGCTTTTCAAATTCTAAAAAAATCCCGGCCACCATGTCGATCAGGGTGGCATCCAGTCCAGAGACCGGCTGGGGGAGACTTGGCGTCTGTGAGGCTGTCCCCCAGTCCGTTAGTGTGTGACCCTCCGTTCCCTTAGGTCTTCGACCTCTGACCACCGTTTTGTAGCTTTTAGCATGCCGATCTTGCACGCAGTTTGTTAAATTTATATCTGTTTCATGTTTCTGTTGCTGCTTTGAATGGCATTCGCTTTATTATTTTAAGTTCCAGTTGTTCATTGCTTGTGTTTAGAAACACGATTGGCTTTTGACTCAGAAATGTTCCTCGTGGGCAGTTATACTGGGAACAGAGAGGGCTTTTCGGTTTTGTTTATTCCCTTTTCAGTCCCTCTGCCTTTGACTCCTTTTCGCCACATTGCTGCCTGGCTCTGTTTCTGGTCAGGAAGACGCGTCGGCTTTGTCCCTGCCCTTGGGGAGGCGGCCTGTCCCTCACCTTAGATACAGTGATGTCGGTGGTTTATAGATGCCCTGTATCAGGTTAGCAAGTTCCTGCTTTGTTGAGAGGGTGTTTTTTTTAATCACTGTTGGGTGTTAAATTTTATCAAATGCTTTTTCTAAGTCTATTAAGATGACCACATGTTTTTCTTTATTTTGTTGATATGGTGAGTGACCCTGATTGATCCCTGACTGTGGAACCGGCCTTGCGTTTATAAGGTAAACCCCACCGGGTCAGGATACAGTAAGGTTTTTATATATTGTTGAGTTCGATTTTCTTGTATTTTATTGAGCAGTTTTGCACCTGTGTTCATGAGGGATGTGGTTTTCTTGTCTTTTCGTGTCTCTTTCTAATTTGGGTGAATCGCTTTTATTTCTCCTTCAGATGTTTGGTGGAGCTCACCAGTGAACCTCATGTGCTTAGAGTTTTTGTTGGAAGGTTTTAGTCGTATATTCAGAAGATAATAGCTATAGGACTACTCAGGTTATCTGTTTCTTCTTGAGTAGATTTTGGAAGCTGCCTCTGTTAAGGAATTTGTCCATTTCATCTAACTTGGTGAATTTATGAGCATAAAGATGTTTAAAATGTTCTCTATTCTTATAACGTCAGTGGGGTCTGGGGAGGTTGTTCCCTGCTGTTGGTGATATTTGTAATTTGTGATTTCTCATTTATTCCGGCCAGGGGTTTGTTCATGTTTTAAAAGAACCAGCTTTTGGTTGCCTGGCCGATCTGGCTCAGCGGCTGAGCATTGACCTGGGATCCAGGAGATCGAGGTTCGATTCCCGGTCAGGGCACAGGCCCAGGTTGTGGGCTCGATCCCCAGGGTGGGCTGCAGGAGGCATTCGATCAATGAATCTCATCATTGATGTTTCTATCTCTATCCCTCTCCCTTCCTCTCTCTGAAATCATTGGAGATATGTTTTAAAAAAGAGAACCTGCTTTTGGTTTCGTTGATTTTCTCTATTTTTGTCATTTCATTTCATTGATTTCTGCTCTCTTTCTTTACTCTTCCCTTGAATCTGCTTGTTTTGGGATTAATGAACCATTACAAATGCTTAAGGTAGAAGCTTAGGTTCTAATTTATACATTTTAAATGCTGTAAATTTCCCTCTAGCATGTCCGCATCCCATAAATTTTGATACGTGGAGTTTTCCTTTTTACTACATTGAAAGTGCTTTTTAATTTTCCACGTGGCCTCCTCTGGCTTGTGGTTGTTTTGAAGTCCATTGCTCGGTCTCCAGACGTCTAGGGGTGTTCCACAATCCTTCTGCTGTTAATTTCAAGTTTGATTCCTTAAGGGTCATAAAACATGCATTTTTATGATTTCCGTTATTTTTTAACTTGTCTTAGGTTTGTTTTGGGCTCAGAATGCCTCTGTCTTGGTTAAGTCCCGCGCGCACCTGAGAAGAACGTGTGCCCTGCTGTCCATGGCCAGGCTGCTCGGTGGAGGCGTGTTGCTCAGGCCTTGCGTCTCCCAGGAGCACTGAACGTCCAACTAAACAGTAGATTTTCCTGTCTTTCCTTTTAGTTTGTCTGTTGTGCCTTTTGTGGGTTGAGTTCTGCTGCGTAACAGTTACCTCGGGGCGGTTAGCCGTCTGATGACCAGATCACTTCACCAGGACGCACTGTCCCTGGCGATCACTGGTCCCCCTCCGGGGCAGGGTCTCTAGTTTCCCCCGTGTTAGCGTAACCACTCCAGACTTGACCAGTGTTTCCGTGTCCATTTCTCCAGTTTTTGCTTTTAAGCTGTGTGTGTCTCCGTATGTTCAGTGGGTTCTTGTAGACACCCTGGAGTCGGGGCTTGTTCTTCACCCAGCTGGCGACCCGTCTTCCGTGGGATGTGTAGGCTGACTCCCCGGGGCCACCGTGCGCGTGATCCACCCGGCGTCTGGTCTGTCCGGCAGCCAGCCCCCCCTTACTCCCCAGTGGCCACACGCACCGGCCCCCACCGGTTTCCACGGTGCCGGCCTTTGCGCGGCCCCTTTTCCCGGGTGAGCGAGCCTGGCTCCCGGCCCTTCCCTCTCACAGGCCTGCCCACCCTTTCCGCCGACCCAGTGGCTCCCGGTCCGAAGCTCCCGTACCTTCCGAGGGCAGAGCTGGCTGTTCCGCCAGTGGGGTTGTTGCTGCAGAGAGACTTGCCTGCTTCAGTCACATGGTGTGTCCCCTAGAATGTGGCTTCCTTGAGGGCAGGCCATCCGGCAGGCATGGAATTGGGTTGAATATCTGTTCAGTGAAGGAAAGAAAGAAAGGGTGGGACATGTTTCAATGGTGGCCCCTGTGTCAGACAAACAGAATCGTAGCCTCCAAGTGGACAAACCACAGTGCACACAGGAGGGGTGATTTTTTCATATGAATGATAATTATGTTTGAAAAATAGTCGTATATACTGGGGGCGGGGACTTCTGTGACCGATCTCACATATCCAGTAACAGGAAAGGAATCAGAGAAGGTGTTTGCTTGTCCTCTGCCTCGGGGTCCCCGGGAAGGGCTCTCCCTGGAGTGAGATGGTCCTGTCCGCTTCTCTGCCTAAACCTGCTGGACTCGGCAACAGGAAATGAGAAATCACCTAGTTCTTTTTGGTTGCAGTGCCACTGTTAGCTCCCAAAATCATTCATCACGCTTCCCTGTTCCCGAGGCCGTAATTGCCTGTGAGCCTGAACAGCAACTAAGGGTTTTTTTCCCCTCTCCTCCCCCCGGCCGCCCCCCGCTGGTTTGGTGTCTTCGCTGACGACGCTGGCACAGTGCCCACTGCGCCCCCGCAGAACGTGCAGGTGGAAGCCGTGAACTCCACGACCATCCGGTTCCTGTGGAAGCCCCCACCCCAGCAGTTCATCCACGGCATCAACCAGGGGTACAAGGTACGTGGCCTCGGTGCAGCTGTCCCGGCATGTTGTGGCCCCGTGGTCAGCGAGGAGGCCACCCTCCCCGCCCGCGCCTCCTTGGTGGGGCCTCCAGAGCCAGCAAGGTCTCCCCCCCAGCTGCACTGGCTCAGAAACACAGGTGGCTTGTCCCCAGGGAAGGCTCATGCATCGAGCAGTTTCTCCTGAGAAAGGCCTGCATTTAAGAATCACCCGCGGGGCCCAGCCGGGCGTGGCTCAGCGGTTGAGCGTCGACCTAGGATCCAGGCGATCAGGGTTCGATTCCCGGTCAGGGCACATGCCCGGGTTGCGGGCTGCAGCCGATCAATGACTCTCCCATCATTGATGTTTCTCTCTCTCTCTCTCCCTCTCCCTTCCTCTCTCTGAAATCAGTAAAGATATATTTAAAAAAGAAAAAAAATCACCCGCTCCTCTCTGGGGAGCA